ACCTCCTCCAAATCCACCGCCGCCTCCCCCAAACCCGCCGCCGCCACCACCGCCTCCTCCTAATCCACCCCCAGGCGCTCCATAGCTTCCGCTGGGTGCACTCGGAGGATTATAGTTGTACTGCGGCTTGGCGCTACTCACGGCCAGCAAGGTGGCAACCACCTACAAAATGGTAATGTTTTCACCAAACTCTCTTCATCCAAACAAAATCTTAATTTGGCAACAACTTACCACGACAAAAGCTTTCATCTTGAGCACAATTAACTCTTGCGTCTGCACGTCTGGTGCAATGAGCCATCAGCGTTGCGTATTTATACATCGTTGGCGATGGGGCACATGCGATGATTGCCCCCTTCCAAGAGGGGCCCCCGCATTATCGCCAATAGCTCCGCGTGAGCGCCAAAGAACCGAAGAGCCGAAGAAGAAGAAGAAGAAGAGACATCTTCCTCGTCGCCAAACGCGCGAGTGTGCTTTAACATTTAGATAAGTGAAATTCGGGTCACAACCTCTCACCGGTATTGTCGAACCCGCACGGATTCGACGCTTACCATCGGCAACAAGAAAGCCAACAACCGCGCCGCGTAGACAATGTATGATACAATAAATCGCTAATGTATGCAATGAATCAATGTAATGCATTGATGTAGCGCTTGAAATAGTTCGATTTACTAACTTCACTTTCATCGAAATGGGGAAATCAAAGATTCAACATTTTTCAGGCGTAAATTTTCTCCGCAAAAAGAATGGAACAACTAAAACGACAAATTGGATTAGAATCTTATATCATTCTGTCATATTTAGACTTAAAACGCAAGTCACGTAAAGTTTTTAATATAAGAAGTGTTTTTGGTTATATGACAAACGCTTTTATGCTCGTCTTCATTTAGCATCATTCTGAAGAAGAAATTTTTCGTTTCGCCTCAAAAAAAGAAAGTTCTGAGGTAAGAATCATCATCATAAATTATTTAAATAAAAAATACATTTATTTGTCACCGTATTACTTGCAAAAATACATATAAAAAACATTACAATATAATTTCTAGAAAAACTATGTACAAAATGCGATAAATGGGATTATCACATGTCCCATTCCAGTAGATGCAGAAAATGTGTGCGTCATGGCTGTGATGACGAGACGAGAAAAGAATTGCTTAGATGATCGATGCACTTCTCTCGTTACCCGTTACGTGCGTGTGAAAATGGGTGCGAAATGACTTAGTATGGGCCGCTCTGGCCAGGTGGTCCGTAGTTGGTGGACACGCTGGAAGAGCTGGAGTGATGAGAAGAGGAAGAACCTCCTGAGGAGATGATGTCGCACGTAGACCAAGGTCTTTTCTTCGTTCTGAGCCTGCAGAGGAATGGTTGGGGCAGTCGCGGCTGGAGCAGATGGAGCCTTAATGAAAATAATCTTGTAGTGCTTCTGAGCCTGACCGACAGCGATTTGCTGTTGTGGACGGAACTCCTCTGGCTCTGGTGGTGGGACGTGCACGTAGATGTGCTTTTGACTGTTACTCCACCGCTGTGTCCGCCTTGAGTAAAGTGGGAAGAACCACCAAAGTTACCAGACGAACCACCGAAGGATCCAGAAGAACCACCAAAGGATCCAGATGAACTACCAAAGTTTACGGAAGAACCACCAAAGGATCCAGAACTCTGTCCTCCAAAGTGGGAGTCAGTGAAACCAGTGTTACCACCAAAGTCACCACCTTGATTTCCGAAGGAAGTCGATGGTGTCCAGAACTGATGGTCTGGAAGTTGTTACCAAAACCACCACCACCGTGGATGCCAACCGAACCAATATGATGATGACCACCGCCCGGCCTCGGGTAGTTGTAACCCGATGGAGGTTCTGGACGTCCGCTTACAAGAGCCACAAGGGTGGCAACAAGCTATAATTCCAATGAAAAACCAAACTTAGCACTTGAAGCACCTTCCTTGGCACCGTAACTTACCACGAAGGGTTTCATCTTATGGTGTGTCGGTGGTAACCAGATCGAGTTACCTTGAAAGAAGGAAGTGAACTGTGTGATACCATGTCGTCGACGACCGACCAATTTATAGCTCATCTTCGAGCCGCCCCACCCTACACGGGCCACAGCCGAATATTGACATAGGTACACTTTTGAGTTTTGTCGAATTTTTTGGTTGGGTGGTGAAAAATCGGGTCACATCCTCTCACTTACCGGCACAGAGAAGAAAGAGTGAAGACAAAAAAGAAAGAAGGCGCGCGCGCACGCGAGCACTCGCGGATCTGTATCACGCGTGTGTCCCACCCAGCAGACAAGGCGAGGACCGCCGGCGAGAAGAGCAACCAACCAAACTTCTGACCGGCAAGAAAACGAAAATTTACTTTCGTTCGCTGACGCGCACACATTTCGTATGCAAATCACGCATGGCGTACGCAAATTCACGCACAAAACATGCATAAAACACCGAAAAATTGCTCTTGCAACACGCAAAAGTACCACCAACAGCTTAAAACTAAAGCAAAAAAAAAACTTTGAGTCACCAGTCGCCGACTTTGTTACACTTTGTGATCGTAATCGTAAATCAAGCATGTGACATAAATCGCTATGCTTTGCATTACCCAACCACTTAAAAATCGTTAGATGGACACATAAAAGAAAAATCGTAAATAACAATACAAGTTTAAACCAGATTTCCAATTCATGCAATTCTCTCCTGATTCAGTGATTCAGTTCGCAAAAAGCGCACAACTAAAACCCGTTTGTGAGAGAGCACCAACAGCGAAAATATAATGAAAAAAAACTAAATCGAATGAATGCTGTCATTCATACGCGCCGCTTGTTAATTAACCAGTTTATGTAATACGCCATATTTTATATCAACGTTTTACAAGCGGCACCCGGCCGTAATTGGCCTGAGAAATTCCGTGAACTTCTCATCAGCGCAGTGATGCACCTTCTAAACGAGCAACAATCGCATGAAAAATACTTGATGTTTGAGGAGATGCATCATCATCGTCGTCGACGTCGAGAATTTCCGTTTTCTATTTCTGTATGCGCAACATACACGTAGACAACAAACACTGTGTTTCCCATGCTTATATAGACAATTAACATTTCTCTCAAACAAATTAACGCAAAACGATTGAAATAAAATCTACGAAATTAAATTATGCATTACATTTTCGCTAGCCGAAGCGTGGCTATGTGACAATAAGAAAGAAGAGAAATTGTGAAGAATTTAAATATCAATAAATAAAAATTTTGTAATAAATTATTAGGTAAAAAGTGGGCAGTTGGCACTAACTTACAAAGAGTCAAAGAGCAAAATAATTTCCATAAATTTTATAATATTGTATATTGTATTTTTATAAATACGTATCAAATATATTTCAATTTTATTATACTAACACCCGGTATACAAAAATTAAAAAAAGCATTGTAAAAATAAAACAACCTCAAAACACAAATATTTTGCGTGAAGTGCGTAATTTGAAACTAATTTTGAAAGTTTAGCGATGAGTGCAATATATTATAATGGGAATCGATCATTGTTCACACATTCATCGTTTAAACGGCAATTGTGTAATGAGGATCCTTTCTAAACGCCATTTTTTTTTGGAATCAAATAAAATTGTTATATACATATATTATTTATAACTTTTATATAAATAGAACACACTTAAAGACTTTAAAGGAAAATTAATAATGTTTCGACACATGATTCACGATCATTTTAATTAATTATACGCAAACATGATAAACCATCAAATGAAAAGTTAATTCATAAAATTTGCAATGAAAATTGAATTCTCTTCTTCAATTTTCGTTGCAAATAAACATCGAGAATTACAATTTGGTTTTCAGTAATTAATTAAATTGATGTAATAACAATGTACGAGATTTACGTAGGTACATAAAATTCTAAGACAAATCTTTAATGCGTATGAAAACATTTGTAATTAGCCTTCGATTCAACGCTTAGCAATTAATGGTCCTCAATGCTGTTCGGCTGAAGTAGTGAACGATGTTTGCACAAACATCGAACTAGCCAATGTGCAACCTCAATAGCAATGATTGTGCGCGTGTTTAAACAATAAATTTGGCAATGCTGTACAGCACTTAACCTCAAATCTACGCTACGCAAGTAGACACTTGACAGCTGTCCACTGGGTTATGAAATATTTTACGTTTTTCTTTAATAAACGCAAAATAATTAAGATAAATTAGTTATCACGGCAGAACGTTTATGTAACCTTTAACTTTTTAAACTTTTAACGTTTATTTTATACATTTTTTTTCTTCTCTAAGATTAAACTTTGTCGGCCGGTGACATCGGCGACCTAGACTGGGCTAGGCCACGAGAGGGACGTTCACTTTTTAACACCCACTGAGCTTTCGTAAAAAACTTGCGATGCTACAAGACGCACATCGATAAAACCGATGATGTTCTCGGGTATATAAAAGAATAAACGCGCTGCGTCGCGCCATGATTCGGTGTGTGGTCAACGCGTGATTAACAACGCCGAATTTACATCTACATAAAGCAATCAACTTGTAAAAAATAAACGAAATATTCAAATTTAAATTTTCGTTTGGTCAGAATATATTTCGTTCGGCGTTTATTGCAGTGGTTGTAAAGTTTGCTATCACGTAATAGCGCTGCACACGATAAACAAATAGAGCTACACACATTTATTTGTAACGGTAAACATTGCATCAAGCAACTAACGCGTTTTATTGTTTGAACGATTTGTATTTGCGCACCGCATAATGACGCGATGATAATGTGTTTGTACGTAGGCGATAGACATGATCATAAAATTAAAAAATGGTAAATCTTGAAATAGATCCTTCAAATAATCCACAAGTATAAACAGGATAAATCTTAAATGAGCAGCAAATAAATAAATTATCAGTTGTTTACAAATAAAATTGCTGCGCCGATAAATATGACAAAATTAGCGCAAAGATCATCCAAACATTTTAATATTTCAAGATAATATGCGTCTCGAAAAGTGCAGTCATATTATAAATCGTGTCATGGATGATGCCCCAAATCAGTTGCACCGTTGCACGCATGCAATAAATACGCCGCGAATTATTTTAAAATGTTTATCGTGCTAGCAGTTACACTAGTGTTATATTTATTATGGCGATGGTATTTAAACGGTATATTATGTGGTTTGAAATCATTGAGAGGTCCAGCGTCGTATCCATTTATCGGATCTCTTATGACATGTTATCCTGTATCGAGTCAGTACTATTTGAGTAATAATATTTAAGAAGTAAAAAATATTATTGGAGCATTATTTTAGCCCTTATGACGAGATTGGGTGATATGTGTAATATTTATGGTAAAACTTACAAAATGACTATCCCATGGACGGCTGGTATTGTTACGATTGATCTGGACCTAGTTGAATATATCCTTACCTCGCAAGCTACCATTAATAAAAGTATACTATACATTTTCTTAAAAGAATGGTTGGGTGACGGTCTGCTTCTTAGCAAGTCAGCAAAGTGGCGATTGAGAAGAAAAACCATCACGCCTACCTTTCATTTTAAAGTTTTAGACCAATTTGTGCAGGTTTTTAATAAGAACAATCAAATACTTGTTCAACAATTGCAGAAGTCAATTGATAAACAAGATGGTGCTGGTGTGGTAAACATAGCACACTATGTGACATTAGCTGCGATGGATAACATTGTAGAAACCGCAATGGGTACTAGTATGAATTCACAACTTAATGATCAATCAGACTACGTCTGGGCTACAAAGTTTATGACGGCAAATATCTACGATCATATTGTAAATCCAATAACATATCTAAAAGCAACCTATATCTTCACACCTGCTTACTGGAAAGAACGGAAAGCTCTGAAGATTTTAAAAGAGTACACCATGTCTTTGATTAAATCCAGAAGAGAAGCACTAAGTAAAGAAAATAAGTCTACTTTGATAAACAATAACGCTGATGTAGAAACATATATTAACGATGAAGATTTTGGTATAAAGAAAAAAACGGCTTTCTTAGATTTACTCCTTCAAACGACCATTGATGGTAAACCATTGAGTGACGAAGATATTATGGAAGAAGTAGATACCTTCATGTTTGAAGGGCACGATACTGTAAGTGCTGCAATATCCTTCACCCTATTCTGCATCGCGCAACATCCTGATATCCAATCAAAAGTAATCGAAGAACAGCGCAGTATATTCGCTAATGAACCCGATAGAAATATCACCAGTGAAGATTTGAAAAATATGACTTATCTAGAAATGGTCATTAAAGAAGGCCTCAGATTTTATCCGTCTGTACCTAGTATTGCTCGCAATGTCTCCGAAGATTTTCACTACAAAGATATTCATGTTCGCAAGGGAACGACAATTGCTATTCCTATTTTGACAATTCATAAAGACCCTTCAAACTTTCCCAATCCGGAGAAGTTTATACCAGAGCGCTTCCTTCCGGCTGAACAAAGCAAACGTCATGCTTTTGCATTCTTGCCATTTAGTGCCGGTCATCGAAATTGCATCGGACAACGATTTGCAATGATGGAAATGAAAGCTACAATTAGCAAAGTATGCAGACATTTTGAACTAGGGATGACAAACCCTCCTCACGAATGTATCCTTCCATCAGCAGTTGTTCTAATGTCCAAAAACGGAGTAAATCTCACAATAAAAACAAGAAAGTGGTAAAAAAACCAAAACAAATATTGATTTAGATGACTGTAACGCCACCTTGATACATCACTTATACAGGAATGTTAAAATTATTAGCAAACAATTCAGTAAATTATAATCGAAAACAAAAATTAAAATAATAAAGATGTTGTAGCGCTTGCCAGTTACTTAATTCTTTTAAAATACGACCGCAGGTCAAACGGTCCAAGGATTTAACAAAACGATTAGAATATTCGTGCAGCAAGCGCAAGCGCCAAGCAACAAAACCTCTGATTGATTGTCAAACTCATTAACATCCTAACATTTTCCACACATTTTAAGCGCGCCTGCAATTATAATAAATTGTATGCGAACAGAGTTAGACGCGGACGCGAATCACGACGGATTGAGAAGAGTTAATTTTAATTTATTCGGCGTCACAACTCGTTAGAGATTCTGCCACTAACTCAGCCACCAACAAAACGATGATAATGTAATTCCAAAATTTACACGTTTTCACAACATATACATATGATGTATACGTACAAAATAGCAAAGCAGTGAAAAAGATGAAAGAATTTGTTTATTTGCATAGAAATCGAAAATGGCGTGTGCTATATGTTTCGGAGTTTATTTTATTAAGAGGATATTATCAGATCTTGACCACAACAAAAATTTCTGCTATTATTTTAACATTTTAGCTTCTACCAAAACTTAAATACAAGATATTTATGTTTTGAAGTTTTTAAATGCCGATTTATTTATCTTTCAATTAAGATCAGTAAAATACTAAATATTACAAAGATTATAACTGAATATAACCCCTTAACTATACAGGTAAGTAATTTATGCAAAATACTAAGAAGAATTAAATCTTCTGGTACTTGAAGTTTAAGTCATTTTGACAAACAAGCAAATTTCTACTTTATTACTGCGACAACATTAATTTAACCGAATATACATGCAAATTCAATTAACTCTTCAGGTAATTCATGTTGATGTTAAAAGTATTGTTATTCCGTGTTAAGTTTCACACTTTTTGAAAAGTCACAAAAATGAGCAATCCACACTTTGCAAGTGCGATTAAAATGTTACGCAGTAATTAACTTATTACTAAAGTCATTACAAATACACATTGAAACGCGCATCATTGTTAGTATGTAATAATAAGTTACAAAAGTGATTATTTGATAGAATGAAATACATGCGCAGAGTAAAATATAAATGTCAACGCACTATTTAGTACATACATTGTATACAGTGTATACAATTCGTACATGCGCGTAAAGATGAAACGATAGAAGAAAAACGCGCCTGCGACCTACATTATGCAATCCCTCAAGTTGCGTCGAAATAAAACTGAGACCGAGTGTGTCGTTAATATAATATGAAATCATTCAAACGAAAGTAACAATCATGAAGTTTAAGTCCAATTGAGGCTGTGTGTAAATTTTGCAAAACTTAATTGCAAAAATGTGCATTCTGTCAATTTCACATGCGTGTGTGATTGATGCGCACGTGAATAATTGATAATTACATCTTTAAATACCAATGACACCAAGTCAGTCTCAGCGAGTCTTCGACAAAATGATTTAAACATTAAAAGTTGAACCTGTTTTTGTTCGGTTTCAAGTGTGCGCAGGATAACATACGAAATGAGGAGATTTGTAAGCAGAAATTGTATAAAAACGCATTTGTATGTCTCTAATGTTGGAAATATCTAGCTATTATTTAATTTATTATAACTGCCCGAGAATGTGTTATGTAAACTTTGTCGGAAAGGAAGATGTGCACTTACTTTGGGTCCATCTATCATTAATTTTGCAAATGGAAAATTTCTTGTTAATTACGATCGCGATGAGCAGTTCCAAGATAAATGACACGTAATATGCTAATGACATACTACATTCAACACATCTCTAACGAAATTATGTAAATAATATAACAACTTTTTCTAAAAATACAAACATAATATATGAAATATTAAAAAATTATTGGCATAATTTTAAAATTAAACCGGAGAAAGTGTTGTATGCAGGAGTGTAGGCTGCAAAACCAACATCCGTTGCCGACACATGTCACTCGACAAAAGCAGCAAGTGGATGAAGTGCTAAAACCACTTGCAGCTCGTCTTGACTCCTATTCGAGCAATATCGTAAAGTGCCAAGATCAGCGCAGCTCGACACTCGAAAGTGACGAAACAAATTGTGCTTTATTGTGAAATCACAAGTTTATCACTCCGAGCAGAATGGCGAAAAACGGGAGCAAAAGCACAGCGTCAAAACTAAGTTTAATTGTTGATTAATGAAAACAACTCGTGTAGATGAGTTCAGAGATGAATTGCAGATTTTTCGAGGTGGAGGAGAAAGTTCGACCGGTTGGGCGCAACCACGGTGGAAATTTTGAATTTATACACACTTAAAATTAAATACAAATAAAGAAGAGCATTAATAAAAGTGTGTATATAAAATATTTACAATAATGAATAAAATATTTAATGTTTTGACTATTCTCATCAGCTAATTTTTATTATGAATACGTTTTGAAATACGCAGCATGCGGAAAAGCATATAAAGCATCTGATGAATAAACTAATAAAAGAAACTTCGATGTCAAAGTTGAACAGCACGCACATTCGCACGTGGTACTCGATTTTATAACCCATCAACTAGTATTAAAATAGTTATCGCATTGCACATGAGTAACTAGTAAAGTACAAAGGTGACACAAATAAATTTCAACCATTTCAACATCTTCTAAAATTATTATTAAAGAAAAACTGCTAAAAAAATCTTAAAACAATAAAATAAATAATTTTAATATTTTTTCAAGCTGTTGAGTTTTATAATAAATATTCCCTAATTATTTATTTTATTCCATGTCTCCTTTGTGCTTTAAAGTATACATTGTACTCTTGCTCATATCCGATTCGATGCACAAAGATCCCCGGAGAAAGTACAATCGATGCGCATTATGTTCGCCCGCACTCGACGGTAACCTTATCAGATTCGAACAGTAACAATAATAGAAGTGGCATTAGCGAATGCGATATGTGTATAAATGTAATTGTTTGTGGAGTATGAGTACGGGTACGAATTTGATCGAACGCATAACGCTGTACGCTAAATATTTAGCTACTGGAAAGTGGGTTAAACAAATAGAGAAGTTCAAAACGCAATTTGCACGTTGAAAATATTTGAAAACGACATTTTTGCAACAAAATCGAAATGAAATAGAGAGAAAAAGTGTACAAAGTAATAAAATTTAATTAGTATCTAAAAAATGCCCGCATGTTTTTAAGTTATTTTCATATTAAATTAAAATTCATATATTGCTGGATTGCAATCACTTTCACATTCATGTTTATAATTTATGCTAATTTTAATTAGAAACAAAACAAGTGTAATTGCGACATGTTAGTGTTAATAAATGGCTTTTTAAATTAGACAAAGTGTACGTATATTACATTCGAGATGAGACACGTGACTCACGAAAGATTGCTTAGCAATTATTATAAGATCAATTAAAATTTGCGACAGTCATCTACGAGTACAAGACAATAATGCTTGCTTTCACGCTGCAGGCAGAATTTAAAGAATTGCAAAGACAGTCGAAGAATCCCATTGATCGGCGATCATTTGCGTTGTTTGGTTGTAAAATAAAAAAAATCGTTTGCGTAATACACATGCTCGTAGACACAACTGACGTAAATTGCAGGTTGGTATGATGATTATCTAAAACTTAAACGAGCCACACTATTAAGCCCATTGTTTCGAGACGAATAATTTAATTGTATACAATTACGTCATTAAAAAATCACTAAATTTAATTTATTACGCATGATATTACTAAAAAAAAGAATCATTATGAGTTAATAAATAACAAGTTAAAAGAAAAACAATGTCCGGTTTGGTTTCGGAAATTAGGTCAAAGTTTCCTGCTTTCACGTGCGCTCGTTTCCCGACTTTCCAGCGGTTTTCTCGGCAGTCAACACGATAGGTAAGCGAAAGAAAAATCACCTCGTGTTACGTGTTGTTATGCTAAGCTCGGTATTCCCTCGAGAAAAATATCCAAGCAAAGTTGGCAAGAAAAGAAAACCAAACAAACCAAATGCCAGGTAAATCCATAAATAGAAACACACTTAAATCTAACAACAAAAAATTCAAGGATAATAAAAACTTTATGCCAATACGGAAGTGCATGCATGCATGCTAGGACATGTGTTTTCGCACATTTCTCTTTAAAATGCTTGAAACGATTCGTGGTTTCTAGGTTCGCAGAATTTAATTTACATCTTTATGATATGCCAACACCGCCAACTCTATGTTACGTTATTGGCATATCAATCAAACGAAGGAAATGAAGATGTGTCACGACAACATGATATCATGTCTGCACGTCTTGAAAATGCGCAAGAAACTTGAGACGACGCAAGAAAACCTGTCACGGTAAATTTGCGATGTAATAGAATAATGTAAGAAGTATTAACATAATAAGGAATATTTTTGATGGAAACGTGCGCGTGAACTAAAAGTTCATTGTTGATAGTAATTCATTAATTACTCGAAAACCAATTAAGTTAAAATAATAATTTCTGTAAATATTAGTTCAGTATTAAATTCTGCATCTATTTTAGCATTTATTGTACTAATAACATATTTTGAACCAATTTAATAGACTAATTAAAATCAGTTGTGCATATTAATACAAAAATAAACTTTAATAGTCAATAACTTTTATATATTAACGCGATGAACAAATTGTTTGCGTAGTTAAAAGTAGAATTTTATTCAGAATTTAATATTAAAGGCAATAGAATTCTATGTTAAATTATTATCAAAATATTCAATAATAACTACATCTATCCAAGTATTATTCTCAAGTTAAATAAAAACTAATCGAATTTATATTTTCAAATATTTTAATAAGATCGAGAATAGAATGGAGTACTTAATAATATGATTTTCAACGTTCAACAGTAAATTAGCCTCGGGAAGGAACAAAAATCATGAAAACTTGAGCCACAGCAATGAAAACGGCGGAAGCGGTGTGAGCTTTGCTCCAGACGTCGGTGATTTAATTAAAACTTTGCCGAGCACATTTACGAGCGTTTTAGCTGGAAGAAAACCAACTTACTACTACCGCCCTCGCTTTCCTACCTCGCCTACTTTATGTAAAACCTAATAAA